GGGGGTTGAGTTCTCCTCTGGACTGGCTTTCTCAGCTGAATGGTGACAGCGGGGAACAGTGCACATATGTGCAGACCTAACACATGTAACTTTGCAAAATGGCACCAGCCACCTCCATGCACTTCTTATTAAGGGGCAGATCCCTACACAGTGCTGCAAACTTGACATATATTTACATTCACAGCACATTGCTTTATTACACTGTTCTACGAAACTGAACAGCAGAAATTACTCTGCTGAAGTTTTCTTTTTTAGGTTTCTCTGGCATCCTTCAGTTCTGGCAGGGCCTGTAAAATCTGACTGAGCAGCAACCCTCGTCTCCCGCACTCCAGAACCTTGTGAGCATCTGTCTGTATATCAAAGACCTTGCTACACATTACAGTATCTAAGTGAGTGGGCTGAGTTGTGCCATATATTTTTCTCTCTATTGGCATTATGGTGCACACAGGAAAGATGATTATCAATGAACCAGTATAGTTCTCACTGACAGTGTCTGGGTGGGAAATGGGACCCACTTTGCTGCATGTTGGGACCATACATGGTTCACTAGGTGTCAATTAGTATAAAATGATAACATCGTTTCTCCCATGAGAACCCAAATGCTTTCATGTATTTGTGACACCTGGTGGATTACTTGTGGGGACCTGATGAAATGAACACAAAGTCCTGTATGTGATTATAGCACCACATACATATTAGAAGAGTTTTGCCTTATAAAATTATTCCCAGAGGACTAGGGCAAAGAAATGTGTGAGTGTGGTTTATAAGGCCAATCTACTTCTATTAATTCTTTATTATTATTACTATTATTATTATTATTATTATTATTATTATTATTATTTTCGGCAGCTCCCAACAGAACACTAAAAACAGAATAACACTTCAAACATTAAAAACTTCCCTAAACAGGGCTGCCTTCAGATGTCTTTTACAAGTCAGATAGTTGTTTATTTCCTTGACATCTGATGGGAGGGCGTTCCACAGGGCGGGTGCCGCTACCAAGAAGGCCCTCTGCCTGGTTCCCTGTAACCTCACTTCGCGCAGTGAGGGAACCGCCAGAAGGCCCTCGGCGCTGGACCTCAGTGTCCAGGCTGAATGATGGGGGTGGAGACACTCCTTCAGGTATACTACCTAAGAGAGCAAGAGAAGGAGAAAATGCTGTTTTATACACTGGTCCTGTGACGCTATTCCCATCCCACAGAGGCAATGTGATTTAGCATTGAATTTATATTGGGTTTAAGATACTTGTGAATGGGGATCATGTTCAGAAAATACACAGCACTACAAATTAAACTGCAATATTGGTAACCCACCAGAGTTCCATGTGCAGGAAAAATGCAGAGTGGGTTCCGTGCCCATTAGCATAACTGCGGACTAGAAAATGGATACCGAAACAGCATTTTTGCCTTACAGCAGCAACCAGTGAAGGAGGTTAGGGCAAGAGACAGTGATTTGCTCAAAGACAACTAGCTAGTTTCCTGGTTTACAGCATAATCCTAAAGACGACTGCATGTAAGTGGGGCTGGGATTGCAGCCTTATAGTTATTTCATTGTTTATGTAGCAATAGTGTTTCCTATAGATATACTAGGGCTTGCTCTGTGGCTATGTGAAATGTGAAAGTAAGATGCATTCCTTGAAGCGCTTGGAGACTTCTGCCAGGCAAATGCAATGAGTCAGGAATCCCTGGATGTGTCCACTTTGTATTTGTAGGAAATGGAGACATCTGTCAATTTCAGTTTCTTATTTTTCTTACATTAAGTTTGATTTCAACACATCTGCATGCTTTTTTTTTAAGGCCTCACCAAAATTCATCATCATTTAAGTGCACATTTTTGTGTGCAATTTTGCTGAATATGCACATATTCCCATGCAGTTTTCCCTGTAATAAAGCATTTTTGTGGGTAGTTTTCGCTAACAGGTGCGTTTTTGTGCACTTTCCCCCACTGTGCACACTTGTGTACCTATTTCTAGATTGAAGAACTACATCACAAAATCTTGAGAATGAATTTCGAAGAATAGCTGTGTTTCAGTTTGCATATAGTTTTCAGAAGTGTGAATTTCTCCCTTCCCTAATTTGGAGGCCCAATTCCTCCTTTATATATTTTCTGTAGCAAAAGCATCAAGCTGTTTCCCCAACAAACATGAATGCCACAGAAAATTGCGAAGCTGCTCCATTATTTTATTTTACTACATTCCATCCATTTCTATTCCACTTTTCTTCCATCCTTTCAAGGCAGCTTACACAGAATGCCCAGGTACTCCCCCTTGCAGGCAGTGACCCAACCCAAACCTGCTTAGTATTAGCAGTTAGTATCACTAGCCCATACTTAGCCCTTGCCCTGGGAGCATTATACTACATGTAATCAACGTTCCACGCAGGCTTTCTCAGCATAGTACATCCAGGCACTTTGAGAATGGAATTAACCCAGCCTCCTTCCTCCTTCTAGCATGTCTAATTTCAAATGGGTTTCCCTGTTCTCATAGAGCTAAATAATACACTTGCAAAAAGCTGGCGCAAAAGAGCTCTGGGCTGAAGAAACTTGCTAAGCCTGTAATGAAACTCCACCTTCTCTTCCCCTTCTACGGGGCACTTCTGCTGTTGGCCAGAAGGTTGCCCTCAGCCAAAGAACAACCTCCTAGAACAAAAGATGGCTGAAGGTTTAATTAATATATATATATATGGAAGTTGTGTGGCAACATCATCAGCTTCTCTCATATATATATATATATAGAACAACAAAGCACTAAACATTATATTGCTTTACTAAGCTCTTTATGGATGTCCCATTAACTTCTTACATACTGGCATTATAAGATATGTTTTCCCCCTCAATGGACATTTGAATAACTGTTCAACATTTATTTGTGTTTCCACTCACAATCGACATAATTGTGCATCATGTTGTGTTCTTGTTCAAAAACCCAGACTTGTATGAGAAGTATAATGCAGGTCTAAATAATTGCTGTGTGTCGTATGCACAATTAGCTTAATTGCAGAAAGTCTTGGGCATCCAATGATTATTCCCCCCCCCATTGATCCAATGATATTTGTTCTGGTTCAGGACATTTATCTGCAACAGCAAATGCACAATTTCTGCATCAGTAGTGGCCACATATGAAGTAGTCATATGTGCAGCGTAGGTTGTATCCAATTCTCATCCTACTCAGAGGAGTCATTGAAATGAATATTACTTAGTTCTATTAATTTTAATTGGTCTATTCTGAGTTGGACTTTGTTGCTAATTTTTTGTTGATTACTAATAACTGAAACTCAGCGGGTAGTAGTCAACGACATTTTACTCAGAGTAGACTCATTGAAATTAATGGACCTAACTTAACATTTCATTGGAGTAAAATGTCATTGCAATACAATGGACTTTGATTAACTGTTGACTTCATGTGCACTTCCTCTGAAGCAGTTGTTGCATGCCCCACTTCTCATAATTTTGGACATGAGTTTACATTATGCTGCCTTAACAGTTAAATATTACCATTTTGACAGCTTCCCATTTTTGTGGATGAAGAAGGTAAAGAAGGCATTGGTCAGTAATTGTACACTGCAAAAAATTCAAACAGAAGCAAAGTGAAAGTTGTGTAAATGAGTGCAGTTAGTAAGGATTCATTGGCAGACATTTCTCCACTCCAGACTTCTGTGAGAGAACAATATGTGCTAGCAAGCAGATCTATTTTTACAAACTAAGGAATAAATCCTATCAGCCTTACTCGTATTGCGCTTTTAGGTCTCTAGGGGCTGTTTGATAACTGGGGCACAGATTCGAGGGGGTACAATTTAAACCGTTGTGTGGGGCGGGGGTGGGGAGCAGAGGGGCTGTCATATCATCAGGAATCACATTTCCTAGCCTAAATACAGTGTTCTGAGGCCAGAATATCATGTCAACAACCTAGTTTGTAAGTGGGGTTTTTATATGATAGAAGTGATATGAGAAATCTCACTTGGAAATATACTATGGCATTTACCAGTCACCATTTACTATGCGATACATCATTTGGGAGGAATCTTATCATGTACTTAACATCAAGTTTGATGAGTTGTCTAATATCTCATCTGACCGGCTTTAGAGCTAAAACAAAATTCTGTACAAATTCAAAACATGGAAAATTTCAGAATTTAGCTTCTTCTTTTAAAAAAAAATTATTCATGAGATAGGAGTCGTGTGAACTGGCTCTTATTGTGGATGGAGGATAATTTCATTCATTTTTAAGTGAACCAGCCAAATTAATATTTCCAAGACAAACACAGATATTGGAACATAATTATTCCTCAGATTTTGCACTTACAGTGGTACTTCAGGTTACAGACGCTTCAGGTTACAGACTCCGCTAACCCAGAAATAGTACCTCGGGTTAAGAACTTTGCTTCAGGATGAGAACAGAAATCGTGCTCCGGTGGCGCAGCAGCAGGAGGCCCTATTAGCTAAAGTGGTACCTCAGGTTAAGAACAGTTTCAGGTTAAGAACGGATCTCCAGAACGAATTAAGTTCTTAACCTGAGGTACCACTGTATTTTAATTTTATGTTCAATAAATGTACTAGATGTGTAAAGAAAAGATATTTTAGGACAACATGCATTTAGAAATGTGCACATTGAGATAAAATATGTGCATTTTGTAATAAAATACAGCACATATTTAAATACATGTTTAAATACAATTTAAATGTGAAATTTGCAAATGTATTATTTTTAAAACTGGAAGATTAATGTGTGATGGAACAGACGTGTGAACAAACACCTGCAAAACTGGCATGGACTGATCCACCACTAGTTCTCACTTGATGTAGGTTAATGGGCAGACATTGTGCCTGGTACAGCCGTGTCCATATCTTCTTGATTACTGTTGAGTCCACTGTGCTTTACCTACTGGGTGGAGGGAGGGAGATTTATTTTCCCGAGAGACTAAACTTCAGTCACTGAAATATTCAATCAAATCAAGATTCAGAGTGCCTCCTTTTCACACCTAATTCTTTTGCTCTGCTTCCAGGTTCCATGTACGATGGTCTGGCTGATGGTCACAGCTATGGAACAGCCCGTGGTTCCTACTATGCCAAAGCTCACACAGGGAGCAACAACTGGGGACATGGGGTAAGGTTTTCTCTAAGAACCATGGGATGCTGATGGGGAGAAACAGTGGTGGGGCTCTTCTGTCAAAAGGAAAAATAGCTTTCTTCCTTGGAAAGGCAATAACTCATTTGAAACAAGAATGATATGCACTGTTATGCTATATGATGTGTTGTTGAATATATTGACTCAGAACCCAATCATCTGCTTAGATTTGGGGTGGGGGCCTTTATCAATTTTTCCCCCATTTCCCATTACTCATTCCATGATCTCCTTTTTCCCCTTTTTCTTTTTTCTTTTTTCTTCTCTTACTTTTTTCCAGTAAGCACTCTGCTGTATGAAGAAGCCCCTCATCACAGCTTTGCTAGCATCCCAAGTCACATTTATATCTGTATCTTGATTTAAATTTATTTCAAAATAGACCTTCAAAAAAAATTATGCCTTTTCCGGGGTCGATTGGCTATCTAATAAGCTTTCATTTAGTCTCCATCTGAATGTTGAGTTCGGCTGTCCTTTTAATTCCAGATATACTGCATTATGGTCCGAGAGAGTCCTAGGTTGTATTTCTGCCCCTCTTGTTCTTATCACTATTTCTTCTGAGATCCATATTGAGTCAGTTCTTCCAACAAACTGATTAGGCTCTGAGAAATGTGTAAATTGTCTTTCAAACGAGTGTTTATATCTCCATACATCATTCAATTTAAAATTCTCAACCAGAAAAAATTTATAGGTAGTCTCCCTTCTTTAGAATCTGATTTTTTATTGTTCTGTCCATATCTAGGGAGACTACCCCATTCAAGTCACCTATTAATATTATTTTCTGGTCCATAAATTCAAACATTTCCCCCTCTAATTCTTTGTAAAATTCTGATTTTTTTTTTAATTTAGGGCATAAATCTCCATAATTACTATTCCCCCCCCCTTGTGACGATACCTGTACCACTATCACTCTTCCCTTTTTGTCCTTATATTTTTTTTCGTTTCAAGTTTTTCTTTTAAATACATTATCATGCCTCTTTCTTTGCTTTCATCTGAAGAAACAAAGTCCAAACCTAATCTTTTATTTATTAACACTCTTTTATGTCTTCTAGCAGCATGTGTTTTCTGTAAACAAATTATATCCAGATTTTGTTTTTGTAAAATATATTCTATTTTGTTTTGTTTCTTTTTATGATTCAGTCCATTAATGTTCCAAGTCAAATCCATTTCACTGCTTTATTTAGAGCCCTTAAGATTATCTTTATCCTGTTCTCTTCGTCCTCCCACCGCTCCTTTTTCTTCCTCATCTGGTTCAGGTCTCTTTGCTTTCAGCTTTTTCTTATTTCTTTCCCAGAATGTTTCTGCCTCACTTGGGTGTCTACATCTTTGTTTCTTTCCATTAAATGTAAATGAGATGCCTTCCAGGTATTCCCATCAATAACAGATCTTGTGTGTTTTTAGTGCTTCCGTCAAAAATTTATAATAATTTTTTTCTCTCAAAATTTGAGCTGGAATTTCTTTAAGTATGATTATTCTTTGGTTGCCTATGTGCAGCTTCTTCTCAGAATTGGTCTGTAGGATTCTGTCTTTAATTATCCGTGAATTTAATGTCACCAGACAGTCACCTGGTAGTTTTTGAGCTTTAGCATAACTCAATTTTACTCTAAAAACTATATATTGACTCAGATCCCAATCATCTGCTTAGATTTGGGGTGGGGGCAGTCATGTAAAGCAGGGACACGGCCTAGGCTACAAGTCCATTACCATGGGGGGCGAATTGAGGCTCAGTTGTTGGTCATGCTTGAAGACATTTATGGAACTATATTTTTGCTGTATTTGTGCATTTATATTATATAGTATGTCAAGATCTCATGAATTTTGCCAGAGCCCAGCAGAAGCAATGTTTCAACAGAGCAAGCAGCATTGTGGAGTAATAAAGGAGGGACACCAGAACTTGACTAGAAACAAACCACAACTTTATTTTGATCTCTATCAAAGATTACAAGGGCAATGAAACTAGGAGCAGTGTGGAGGCAAGTGTGCTTAACTTCTAATCAGGCACCCAAGGAAACTGTACTGAGATGGCTGTCCTGCCACTCAAAATCAATCCCTGCCTTTCTGGCTCAATCCTGAGCCAGTCCCTATTTGCAATCCTACATGCACAAGCATTCTCCGCCCCGCAGCTTCCCAGTATTGCTGTGTGCAGTCCACCTCATGCCTCCCGCTGAGAGATTGTTGCAGAACTCCTGCTCTCTTCTTCCTTGTGTAAGTCACATTTAAGGATGGTTTTCACTGCCTTTCCAAGCTGCTTCTCATACACTCCTCCTCCTGTCACAGGAAATAGCCAGCTCAGCTTGGTTTCCTTGGCACTCTCACTAACCTCAAAACAAAAACAGTAGCCTTCGTAAACAAACAAGGAAGATGGAGAGCACACACCCCTCCAAAGATGAATCTCATTGCCCTAATGGAGAAGAACCACATCCTTCACCTACCTGGGTTCCCTAAATAATCACCAGCTGTGGGGGAACTTCCTATCCTGGAGAACATGATGATGGGACAATAGGACATCCCACTGCATACCATGTTTCTCCCTTAGGCTGCCTTCTCTTCTGAGCAATTCTTTGATCATTCTCATTAATTAAACTTTTTATGTTGGTTTCGTCTCTTTGGGATATTGAAGTCTACAACATAACATAAGATCTCTCCTTCCCAGCAACAACAGCATGTGCTCAGCAATAAGTCTCAGGACAAAGTGCATGCCTTCATGCCTTCTTTCCCTGGTCTCTTCTGCAAAATGAAACACACATAACTGACATTTTCTTCACACGCAGCCACAAAGTGTATGCAGAGCATAGTGTAAGCATGCACACTCTCTTGTCTCCCAGATTCAATGTGAAAACTGGCTTCAAGCTGTTTCTCTGCCCCCTATAAAGCTAACTGAATGGGCATCATTGCTTTCTGAAATTCTGCTGCGTATTACATTCCGTAACCTAGGGAGAGATTCTCAGGAGAACATCTTCTCTCATTGCACACACGTGTCACTCGGATTCTGTATTTCTTAGTTTCATTAGAAATATTTCTTTAATTAGTCATGGAAATGACTACTGCTGAAGCATGTTAAATCTTTTGTAAACGAGGGAATTTACAGTCTGGGGAGAACGAAGGCTACTCATTGCAGAGGGCACGCCTAACAATGTACTGTATAAACTCAAAGTCGGTGATGCTGCAGTCAGACAGATTCAGGCAAACATGAGAGAAGAATCATGCTGTGCAAGTAATAAAGGAGGTGGGAGAGAGAAAGAATAATGGAAGATGTTGGGTGTTGGTTAAATCCACGGCTGTCTGAGTTTCCCATGACCGGGCCAGGTTACAAAGTTGCTGTTTTTCATGGCTCTGCAAATTGGATCCTGTTAAAACATTCAAATAGCCTTCATCTAAATATATTGTACTATGATAACGCTGTCCCTGGTAATCCTGTTTCACCAGTATTATAAGTCTGAGAGATGGAAAGGGAAATCTTTGTAATCTTCTGCCCATACTGCTTGCATCGGGGAATCCTCTGAAACTGGTTGCCTGAGCTGCAATAGTGACGTGGGACGCCACTGAGAGCTAAACTCTTTGCAGCCCAGCTGAGAAGGAAAGAGAATCGTCTGTTTATCTGGGGATTAAAGCATCATACCACCCAGACAGATAAATGAGGATCTGTACTGAGCGTGAAACATTTTCCCCCAGTCACCTTGCAGTGAGATTTATGCAGAACTGGATAATTTCAGAGTCAAATGCATTCTCATAACACCAGCCAGTTGAACCAAAATTGGGGTTTTTTTTAAACTTGCCTGTGATTGAGGCTAGTGTCAGACAATATGTCAGACATAGGTGTGTTTATTTATTTGTTTTGTATATTAAACAATTCTTCCATGTGGATACCAGGGCAGTATGCAATTCATTGCACTATAAGATGACCCAAAAAATTATGTGTGAGTGTGAGAAGAAACGTTGTCTGAATTCATTTTCACATCCTGATCAAATTATGACAAAGCTGTCTTTGGATCAATTGATTAACGAGAGCATACAAAATTACAAATTTTATGCATGCATGCATGCATGCATAAATAAATAAATAAATAAATAAATAGACACTTGGACATCTGTGCCTTCTGAAAGAAATGAGAAAGTGTCAAAGAAAAATATGAAACAGTGAAGGGAAGAAATATTTCAAATCCAGAGGAAATTTTATTATTTTATTTTATTTTATTTTTACTGGTTATCCAAGTTTGTCTCTTCCAGTTGTGTGTAACAGACTGGAATGAGTCCCTTTCGCAAGCAGGATCTAGGGTGTGCACAATACATCATTCAGGGTGGCACTCCATCATATTTCATTGCTTTGGCTTTCCCCTCTGGCCTGAGAGACACCTCCTCCCAATATGTTTGTGCAATTTTATTTTTTTACCTCCACACCATCTGCTGCTCTAGAAGTAACTAAACCACCTGCAGTTTTTTTGTTCGGTTCCTATCTCTCTACTAATCGTTTTGCTAGCTATAGAAATTGGAACCACCTAATAAGTAGGCTCATGAGTGGGTTCAATTCCTGTCTCTCCCACTGACCTATTCAGTTTCCAGTTGTCTCTGTGTGCCTGTGTCTGTGTGTGCGGGTTGTGGTTCACTTTCCCCAGTTAGACAGGGTGGAGAATGATAGGGATCCACTTCTGAAAAGTTCTTGGTGACCACAGCCTCGCACAATAAAAATTATAAACGTATTATCATGTCACTTAAGTGCTTTGTGAATCATTTTGGTGATATGAACATTTACAATAATTGCTACTTACTAAACTTATGGGGGTGTTAATATATTTAATTAACCATGTTTTAAAAGGAAGATAGACTGCATTTGACTTGGCGAGTGGCAAGTTGTGCAGGCCTGGATTACTGAGATAATCCAACACTAAAATACTGAACAAATTATTGGTACTATGCGGATGATGATTAATAAGGCATTAATATATTTTCCATCTATGTCACCTAGATTGCTATGGGATCCTAAGATA